AAAAAAAAAAAAAAAAAAAGAATATTTAGTCATGCTGTTTTATAATATTGAATAATTAGAAACCCAAATGTTGAGCCGAGCATGATGGCTCAAGCCTGTAATCCCAGCACTGTGGGTGATGGAGGTGTAACATGGTGAGACCTCATGTCTACAATGAATAAATAAAATTAGCTGGGCGTGGTGGCACATGACTGTGATTCCAGCTGCTTAGAAGGCTGGAGTGGAAGGATCACCTGAGAGCCCAGTAGGTCGAGGCTGCGGTGGCCCTGAGCATGCCACTGCACTCCAGCCTGGGAGACAGAGTGAGACTCCAACTCAAAAAAAGAAAACGTATACTGAGATGGACATGCTCATACATTAGTTATTGGAAAGCAGTTTGGCTGTAGTAACCAGGAGCCTTAAATTAAGATTTTTCCTTTTACTATGGTACTTTGATTTTTAGTGTAGTCTAAGGAAATAACCAAACATCAGCATGCTTTTAAAATGTTCCATTTTAAGAGTGTTATTGAGATGTAGTTGATATGCAACACACTGCACATAACATGTGCAATTGAATAAGAATCAAGATAGGAAACATCTTTCACCCTCCCAGGTTTCCTGGTAGACCTTTGAAATCACTCCCTCCTGCCTCTTGCTGCTCCCCCATCCCCAGGCAACCTCTCTGGATTAGTCTGCAGTCTTTAGAGCTTTTGTTTTGGGGGTTTTTTGTTTGTTTGTTTGTAGAGATAGGATCTTGCTGTATCTGGTTGCTCAATCTGGTCTCAAACTCCTGGGCTCAAGCAATCCTCCTGCCTCAGAATCCCAAAGTGCTGGGATTACAGGCATGAGCTATTGCACCTAACCTAGACTAGAGTTTTCTATAAATGTGAAATCATTCAGTATGTTCTCTCTCTTTCTGTGTGTGTGTGTATGTATTTTTTTATTCATGCTGAATAATATCCCATTGTGCAGAAGTAAGTTTTTTTATCCATTCACTTGTTGATAGATATTTGCCAACCCATTTTTTTTTCCCTAGGAAAATTAGAATCCCTCTAAGTCTACAGAAATAGAATTGTTATATTATGCTGTTGCTACATAATGAAATACTATAGAGCTATTTAAAATGATGTTTTAGAAAAGTTTTAATAATTCAGCTTATTTTCAATATGTTTGAGGGAAAAGAGGATATACAACTATTTAAGATATATCTTTGAGAAAAGAGTGACAGGAGAAAATAGATTGGTTACATTACTGTTTTTGTTTCCCTTAGAATATTTATCTTTATTAAAGATAAATTTCCCTTAAAAGAAAATAGCTCAACTAAACATGCAATTTTACAACTCAGCAATTGAATTCTGGGTATTTATTTCAGAGAAGTGAAAACTTAGGTTCACACAAAAACCTCCACAAGTGTCCACAGCAGCTTTATTTATAGTAGCACAAAATTGGAATCAACCCAGATGTCCTTCAGCAGATGGATGGTTAAACTATGGGCCTTACATACTGTGGACTACCTCTCAGCAATAAAAAGGAGCAAACTACTAATACAGGCAGCAGCTTGGATGAATCTCCAGAGAATGATGCTGGGTGAAAAAGCCCATTCCAAAAGTTATACATGTACGTCTTACATAGTAATTTGATGTAACATACAGAATCTTGAGCAAAACATTTGGAAAGGCAGGACCAATTAGTGGCTGCCAGGGGCTAAGGACTAGGGGAAGGGAGGCGAGTGTGATTATAAGAGGATTACGAAAGGGTCCTTGTTATATTGGAACTGCTCAGTATCCTGACTGCAGAGGTGAATACAGGAAAACTTACACAGGTGATAAAATTGTGTAGAACATGTACACTTGTCAAACGAGAGATCTGAAGATCGGTGGATGCATCCAAGTCAGTGTCCTGGTTGTGAGAGTATATGGTAGTTTCACAAAACATTACCATCTGGGGAAAGTGGGCAGAGTGTACATGGGATTTCTTTGTGTGATTTCTTACAAGGCCTCTTGGTATATGCAATTATCTCAGTACAATTTCAGTTTAAAAAGAAAGAAAGGAGCCAGGCACAGTGGCTCACGCCTGTAACCCCAGCACTTTGGGAGGCAGAGGCGAGAGGATTGCCTGAGCTCAAGTGTTCAAGACCAGCTTGGGCAACTTGGCGAGACCTTGTCTCTACAATAAATCAAAAAATTAGCCAGGCATGGTGGCACGGGCCTGTGGTTCCAGCTACTTGGAAGGCTGAGGAGGATCACCTGAGCCCGGAACATTCAGGCTGTGGTACAGCCTGGGCAACAGAGGGAGACTCCGCCTCAAATAAATACATGAATGCATAGAAGGGAGGCAGGGAAGCAAAAGTTCTGAAGGCAGGAGGCCCCTGCCCAGATTGCAGCCTGGCTCTGTGCTTGGAGCCACAGCCAGGCACAGTTTGCCAGGATGCCCCAGGGGTCGTGACAGCCCACCTTCATTCTGTCCCTTGTCCCCTGTCCCCGTAGCATGTGCAGCACATCCGCATCGATGGCTCCACCTCCTCAGCAGACCGGGAGGACCTGTGCCAGCAGTTCCAGCTGTGCGAGAGGCACGCAGTGGCCGTGCTGTCCATCACCGCGGCCAACATGGGCCTTACCTTCTCTGCGGCTGACCTGGTGGTGTTCGCTGAGCTGTTCTGGAACCCAGGGGTAAGGGACACAGAAGACCTTGGTTTTCCTGGGCATGCTCATGGTGGGAGGAAGGAGCAAGTGCCAGCTAGGGAAGATGTGGTTCCAGTCTTCCATCCGTTACGCCTGTCACATGTCTGTTTTACTTCTTTTAAGCACGTGCACTTCTTTTTGGCAAGTTTTTAGGTCTTCACAGCAACCTATAGGAGTGTCGACTTTGTTTTATCTCTGAGAAGATTGGCATTTTAGAGGGCTAGGGCTAGAAAGAAGTGTAGATTGCATCTCTCAGGAAGAAATGGGGGCACAGAGAGCTCAAGTGGTGGGTCAGGACTGCACAGCTGTCACCTAAAGGAAGTAGCTGGCAGCATCGGGCTGCAGCCCAGGCCTCTGGCCTTCCAACCTGTGCCCTGTTCGTTGACCATCGCTGGGAGCTGATTTGGTCAACGGGGCCTCACACAGAGTGTCAGCGGTTGATGTTCCCTGGACACCACCATTGTGCCCGCTGGCCTTACTTGACCAACTAAGAACTGTGACAGCAGAGATAAGACATTTGTTTGAACTCATGACATTTTTTGCTAAGCACCAGAAGTAAGTTATCTCCCCTCTGATGTTTTGCTATAGTCTCAGCCACACACCAGTGACTAAGGATGGCTAGACCTCAAAATCGAAGCCATTTTATAATAGAACAATGTTTATGGTTTTAGTTATTTATTTTCGTGCTTGCCACCATAAAAAAATATACCTCCTTAGCCCCCAGCCATACATAGCCTCTCCTTTTGATCTGCTGTTTTCATTTATTTGGAAGATAACTGTTCATCTCACAGAGAGGAGGGATGGGAGCGTGCGGGGTTCCAACACCTGCCCCCGCGGCACATCCTGGCTGCACTGCCTGTGCTCACACGCCCTCCGTTCCGGCTCCTAGCACACCGAGGGCCTCCCACAGACCTCCTGCTTCCGGAGTCCACTCCCCTGCCAGGGTTTTGTTTGGTTCTCCCTGTTGTGCAGAGGACAGGTCGTCCATAGGTCTGAGAGACAGTGAGATGCTTTGAGGAGGGGCTCAAGGCGAGAGGTGCCCGTCTGGGGGTGGAGCTGCTTCAGGCCTTTACTTCATTCTTGTGATCCCTGGATACACAGGTGCTGATCCAGGCTGAGGACCGGGTGCACCGTATTGGGCAGACCAGCTCCGTGGGCATTCACTACCTCGTGGCGAAGGGCACAGCTGATGATTACCTGTGGTATGGCTTGGCTGGGTGGCAGACCATGGGCGTGGGATGATGTGTTATCTTTTCTGCCTAAGTGCTTCTGCTTTGGCTGAGGTCTAGGGATCCACACAGAGGACTCCTTAGTCGCACTTTCCTGCTTTCACGACCGTACGTGGCCTCCTTCTGGTGTGCGTTGGTGGCTTGCAGGGTGCACGAGGGAACTTGTGGATTACTGGGTAGGTGGCCTCTTTCCCACTGATCTGAGATGGGGAAAGGAGCCGATTGTGATAAAATGAATATGGAGCCCGGCTCGGTGGCTCAGCCTATAATCCCACGCCTTTGGGAGGCTGAGGTGAGTGGATTGCCTGAGCCCATGGGTTCGAGACCCGCCTGGGCAGCGAGACCTCATCTCTACAATAAATCAAAAAATCAGCC